CCGCCTCCGCTGCGCTCAGGCAGCCGCCCGCCCGCCTGCCTCGCTCCCTCCCGCCGGAGCACCGCCGGCCCGCGGTGGCGCTGGAGCTGCTGGCTGAGGGGCGGCGGGCGGCGGAGGCTGCAGTATACTAAATGGCAAACTCTAATTGGTGATTTTTAAATCAGCTACCAGAAATATAAGTGAGTCTTAAAATTCCTAGAAATGGGCTATAAAGAATAGAGGAATCAAAGATATTAGGAAATGTTATGCATTTTGATGCTGAATCTGTAGTCTTTTAAAATCACACTCTATTTCTCTCCATACGCAATGCTTAACAATTAATGGAATGCAAGAACAAACGGTACTATTTATAGCAGTTTTCTCAAAGACTAATAATGAACAAAATTTATCTAAGATGAGTATTACTTAAAAAGAGCTTTATAGTTAAACTGGATTAAACAAAGCTAAATGGATTTTTTCATTATAACTTTTCACAACCACAATTTTTTATTTTATTATTTTATGTGTGTGTACCATCAAATCGGATCTGATTGGTACAGGAAGAGACTGCCCCTCCTTCTCCAGCAGAGCATCTGGTGGATTTGACCTGTGCGCCTCCAGGATTGCAGTGCAACTTCTAGTTACTAGGCCACGAGAACAACCACAATATTTTTCCACGCACTATAAATCTCCAAGATTTTCTCTAGATATTTTTGAAAAAGGAACCTTTTTTCCTCAATTAAGAGAATATTAATCTTGGGTGTTGTTGTTGTTATGTGCCGTCGAGTTGCCTGGGACTCATAGCGACCCTATGTACAATAGCCCTAAACTCCGCTCTGTCCTGTGCCAATCGCACTGTCTCTGACACTCCCATCCCAATTATCCCAATCACTGAATCAATCCACCTCAGAGAGGGCCTTCCTCTCCTGCGCTGTCCCTCCACCCTCCCAAGCATGATGTCCCTCTCCAAGGACCGGTCTCTCCTCTTGGGTAGAGGCATGAAATAATATTCTACATTTTCCATCTTAATTTCATGAATACAGTAAATACATGTAGATTTTATTCCTAAGAGGCTCTTTGGGAGCTCTCGTGGCCTAATGGTTAAGAACTTGTGCTGCAATCCAAAGGCATACAGTTTGCATCCACCAGTTGCATTGTGGGAGAAGGATGGACAGTCTCCTCCCTTGAAAATTCACTGGTCAAGTCCAACTCGATGATACCCAACTGGAGTGAAATCACAAGGTTGCACAATCTGGTGGGAAGAGGGGGAGGAAAGGAAATGGGAAAGATCTTGTGGGGAGCTGAAAAGACTGGGTAATGGGTAAATGGTGAGCATACTCTGTTGTTGTTGTTGATGTGTACCACAGAGTCAGAACAGACCCATAGCTGACCCTCCATCAGGTTTTCAGAGGCAGTTAATCACACAGGAGGAGACTGCCCATCCTTCTCCCGTGGAGCGTCTGGTGGCCTCAAACCATGTGCCTTTGGGATTGCAGTGCAGCTTCTTGCCACTAGACAACCAGAGCTCCCTAAATGGTAGGCATATTCTAATGGTCATTAATTGTGTAAAAGGTAGTATATGACAATGACTGGATGAAATATAATGTCAATAAAGGAAAGTGTGGGGGCGGAAATATTTTTAAGAGGGGAAATAAGGGAATAATAATCTAAAAAAGATAAATGTCCACTAAAATAATTTTTTAACAAATGGCAATAGATTTGCTTCTAAGATTTTAAAAAGTTAAACTCTTTCTTATGCTTCTCAACTTTAATGTATGTTAAAAACATCGAGATATCTTAATAAAATGTATGTTCTTATTCTGAAGCATGTCCTGACAGTCTCCAATCCTAAAAGAATTTCCAGGTGATGGCATTCCTATTGACTCAGACACAAGACTTTTAGGGAAAAAACAGCAAAGTGTTTCTATATTTTCAGCCTCTGGGTATTCTCAATACTGCCTATAAAAGAATTACATAGAAACTTTAAAAAAAAATACTGAACCCAACCACTACTTCTACCCATCTGCCAATGTGAGGGAGCAGCTGCTTCATTAGAGGAAGATGGGCAATCTCCTCCCATGTGATTTACTGCCATGGAAAAGCCACTGGAGGGTCACTTACAGGTCAGTTCTGACTCAACAGTATATGACAACAATTTTTTTAAAGCACCATAGATAATTTTACTGTCCATTCAGTGTTGTGAACTATTCCTAGTTAATCTGCATAATGTCTTGAAAGAATCTGCATAAGCTACAGTAACAGTGTGAGTTAATTGCTTTGATATGTTTTAATAGGTAATAGGTAAATCAGTTGCTTAAAAACAAAAATTAGTGTTCCAATTAACTGGCTTTTTGTTAAAAAAGGAAAGAACTCATAAACCAAAACAAAAAATACTAAGTTAGTCTGAGCTCAAAAAGTCAAGATGGAACTCGGGGTGCAGTGGTCAAAGTTTTCTCTGCTAATTCAAAGTATAGCAGTTTCAGCCAATCAGCTGTACAAGTGGAAAAAAGATGTAGCAGCTGGCTTCCCTATTTTAGCCTTGGAAACTCTATGGGGCAGTGCTATAGGGGCAATGGGTTAGAATTCATTTGATGCCAATAGGTTTAATATTTTTTCTTAGTTTTATAGTCACATGCGAACACTGAGAACCAGGCCCGTTCATACTACAGACAGATATGATGGTCAAGTCTGAAAAAATCAAATTAGGAAATCATGAGCATAAGTATAGTTAGTGAAGAATAAAACTGACATTAAATATATTGCTAAGAGACTACTGTTTAATAAATAGGTCTGTTAACTGTTTTAGCACTACCCTGAAAATAAATCTAATCAAATAATTTTAAAAAAACAATTTAATGCTGAAATTTCCATCACTTGTTTCTGAAATGTGAACTATTAAAAGTACTAACAGGGGGGGGAAAAGTATTAACAGGTTAATTAAATGACTTTGTAACACTTCAATGTCATCAAATCTCTATGATTAATAAACTGCATGGAGACAGGCTTTCTCTTTAGTCTCTATTTTTAGCCTTGAAATACATTTTATTAAATATTTCACGGTTGATACTGTGACTGAGTTCCCAAAAGAGCAATGAGATCACGGTTAATCTAATGCACCCAAATAACACTTGTAATATGTACTCACACACATTAGTTTAGCTAACTGGAGAACATACTGGCCAAATTAATGTAAAATACTAAACCACCTTTCATGTTTGAAATTCTTTCCTCTTACCTGCCTGTTAGAAAACCAGAATTTCCGTTCATGGTAAGCAGATAAGTAGAGGGCATACATCATACCACTTGTAGCTGCTGCAAGACAGCCAATGAAAAACTTTGCAAAGCGCTGGAATAATACATCTGTAAAAACATATTCAAAATAATCAAAAGTTAGTATGTACCTCTGTTATGCTAAGAAATGACACTTAACTTTAGTTGTCTTTCTCCTGAAAACTCCATACTAATCATGTAAAAACACATACCTCAAAATTACTCAAGTCATTAAAAACAAAGTCTGAGAAACTACTTCACTCAAGAGAAACCTAAGATGTAACAACTACACATTTGATATCCTGGATAGGGTCTAAGATTAAGTTAAAAAAACTACATAAATCTGAACAAAACACAGACTTTAATTATTATGTTCAACCTTGGTTCCTCAATTGTATCAAATTAATGATTCAAACATAAACTGTTAATAGTAAAAACCATGAGGGAGTGGGAGTGTGCGAATAAATGTGGCAATTTTCTGCATTAGCTGTTCAATCTTCCTGTAAACTTGAAATTGTTTTAAAAATGAAACTGTCAACAAGTTCACATCATGGATCACAATCAACATCCTTGGTACCAGAAGTCAAGAAATCAAAAGATATGCTGCTATAACAATCTGGAATAAGAAGGCACTGCAAAGTGAACTGCGGGAAGAAGAAGGGGAGGGGAGGGGGTGAATTATGCAACAATGAATAAATGAAAACCCAACCTGTGTATAAACTTTTGTTAAAATCTAAAAAAAAAAAAAAAGAAAGAAAAGGGGAGAACGAAGAAAAGACATGTTGCATTAAGAAAATCTGCTGTCAGGGACTTCTCCAAAGTGTGCCTAGCCCAGGCCACAGTCTTCTTGATTACTTGCTATGCATCTGAAAGTTGGACGATGACTAAGGATGACAGAAGAATCAATGCCTCTGAGTTGTGATGTTGGAGAGGAGTATTGAATATCCCATGGACTGCCAAAAGACCTCTAAGGGTGATCCTTAGAAGCAAATATGTTTATCATCTTATACTTTGGGCATATTGTTCAGAGAGGCCAAGCATTGGAGGAGATATCATGCTAGGGAAAGGAGAGAGTCAGAAAGAGAGGAAGACCCTCAACAAAATGGGTTGACATGATGACTATAACAATGGATTTAATTATCACGCAGAGGTGAGAATGGCAAAAGATAGGGTCGAATTCAGATCCATTGTTCATCAGGATTGCTAGGAGTTGACTGGGCTATAAAAACAACACTGTAAATGTACTGAAACGGAAGTTTATGAGTAGTTACTAGGAACTGGGAGGAGAAGAAAATAAGGTATTATTGTTGTTTGAAGTGCTGAAAACGTTTAAAATGGATAGTGGAAAACTTTTTCTCTATTTTACCTCAGCAAGAAAAAACCTAAATAAAGAATATCCCCATGAACAAACAAATGGATAAAGCAGCTCTGGTATATTCACACAATGGAATACTATGCAGCATTGAAAAACAAGGAACTCATGAAATATTACGCAAAATGGACGACCCTGGAGGACATCATGCTGAGTGAAATATCTCAGTCCCAAAAGGACAAATATTGCATAGGGCCACTGTTGTAAAACGGGACTAACATCAGGGTTGAGGGAAGACAGAAAAGGAGGGGAGGAATGATGTATATTGTATTGAAACAGATGAGGGAGAGAACTGTTTAAAAGAGACATATGGATGGGTATTACTGTCATGACAGGAGTCCAAAGTGAAAGCTGCATAGTGGCGTGGACTTGGGGGGGGAGGGATTGCATAATAATGAAAAGAGTTTTTCTTTTCAAGAAGAGTGAATTGAGGAGGAGGGGGTGGGTGGGGAGAAAAGAGCAAAAATGAATGACAGGCAACCCTACTTGCATTAAAATTAAGAAAGAAAGAAAAAAAAAATAATATCCCATGGACTGCCAAAAGAACAAATGATATTATCTTGGAGAAAGTTCAGTCAGAATTCTCCTTAGAGACAAAGATGATAAAGCTCCATCTCATATACTTTGGGCAGGTGGCTAAAAGAGGCTATGCTTTGGAAAAGGACATCATACTTAGAAAAGTGTAGGGTCGACAAAAGGAAGAAAGACCTTCAATTAAATGGATTGACACAATGACTGCTGCAATGGGCTCGAGTGTGTCAGAGATTGTGAAGATGACACAGGATAGGACATGGCTCAGATCTGTTGTTCACAGGGTTGCTATGGATTATACTCAAATGCACCTAGCAACAACATCAATGAAAAAAAAACAAAACAAAAAAAAACCACCCGACACCAAAACACCTAGATTAAAAGGAATAGAGTACAGAGTATCTAAAGGAAAAAAAATACAGGTTCATTCAGAATTACTACCCTTTCTTTGTTGTTATCCTCTTCATCAAGGAATTTTTTTAATAGGAAAAATTTTTATTCTATAAACACAAATACATTTTCTACTATTGAGTCAATTCTAACTCATAGAAATCCTACAGGATGAAGCAAGCAGAGCTGAGTTTGTTACCCTTAACAAGAGCAGACTGCCTCACTGTTCTCCCAAAGAGCCAATGATGGGTTTGCAGTTCAACACCTAACCCACTACATTACCAAGGCTCCACCTATACAATAAACGACAGTGAATTTTATCACTTAAAGTGTACAGTTCAATGAATTTTGATGATTAGGTTTTTAAAGGGTCATAAATAACTACAAGAAAAATAAAAATTTGGTCAACTTTTTACCTCAACGTAGCAATACATATATCCTAAATTCTTTTCTAGGTATGTCCAAAGGCTTAATTACATGCACCTGGAGCTTATCAACCTATTGTCAGATCACATCTTTAGTTGTTGTCTCCTCCCAAGTCTTGCTTAAATGGAAGAATTTACTAAGGATACTTTATACTTTTTTTTTTTACTTTTCACCTTTTAACAAACCGTGTGACAGCCATGTCTTTGACTTTTGCCATTGCCTTGAGAATTCATCTTAATCAACCTTTGCTATTCAATGTAACTCTCAAATTTACCTTTAACTGGTTGGAAAAGATTACAGGTTTTCAGATTTGCACATCCATGTATATTGCTGCATTATTCACAACAGCAGGGAGATGCAAGCAACCCAAATGCCCATCAACAAATGAATGGACAGAAAAACTAGTACAGTCACACAATGGAATATTATTATGCAGCACTGAAAAACAATGAGCTCATAAAACATTACACAAAATGGAGGAGCCTGAAGGACATTATGCTGAGTAAAATATCTCAGTCACAAGAGGACAAATACTGCATAACACCGGTATTATAAAATAGGACTTACATGGATGGTTGAGGGGAGAATAGGAAGGTAGATAATGAACACTGCACTGGAACAGATAAGGAGAAGAATAGTCCAAAAGAAATATATGATGAGGTGTTATATGTATGACAACAGTCTGGAAGAAGAGGGACATTGCAAAGTGGACTGGGGGAAGGGATAGAAGGGGCAAGAAAAGCTAAGAAAACTATCTTAATTAAGGAGGAAATCTCAAAAAAAATCATAGGTGTAACTGTTAGCAAAGGGAGCTGATTAGACTCACAGGCATAAAGCTGATAATGTTTTTGAAAACACTGTCTTGTTAAAAGAGTGTCACTGTTGTTAGGTGCTGTTTCATGACGTCTGACTCACAGCAACCCTGTGAACAAAAGAACTGAACCCTGTCCTATCCTGGGCCAGCCTCACCATCTCTGACACTTGAGTCCACTGCTGTAGTCACTGTGTCTATGCACTTGGTTGGGGGTCTTTCTCTGCTTTGCTGTCACTCCACTTTCCCAAGTAAGATGTCATTCTCCAAGGAACAGCCTCTCTTAACAACATGCCCAAAGTATGTGAGACAAAGCTTTGTCATCCTTGCTTCCCAGGAGCAATGTGGCTTCACCTTCTCATTCTCCAATACATATCCGTTTGTTCTTTTGGCTGTCCATGTGATATTTAGCATTCTCCTCCAACAGCACAGTTCAAAGGCATCAATTCTTCTGTCTTCCTTATTCATTGTCCAGCTCTCAGAAGCATAGCAAGGACTGAAAAGACCATGGTCTAAATCAGGTGCACCTTAGTTCTCAAACTAACAGCATCAGCATTACTCTTCAATAGTTTAGAGATCAACGACTGCAGACAGTCAAGAGTAGTTAATCTGAATTATAAATTACTATGGTTGTTTAAATAGAATAACAACTTTTGAATCCTCAACTGTTCTTCAATTTTGCAAGAAATAATCTAAGAAAGCCATTCAGCCTTAAGGATAGTATATTCTCCATTCATTCTTCAGATATGGGTAAAAAAAGACTCTGGATCGCAGAGTCAAGGGCTATGGAGAACAATAAGCTAGGCTTAATCAAGAAACATCTCCTAAACTCAGGGTTATTCCACTGCCATCAAGTCAATTCTAACTCATGGCAACACTGAGAGAACGACTGTCCCATAGGATTTTGGAAGCTGATTGTCTCATCTTTCTCCCTCAGGGAAGCTGGTGGGTTCAAACAGTTGACCTTTTTTATTAACATCACAGTGCCACTCAAGTGTGAACTGCAGGGTAAGAAGATCTCATATTTATCTGGCAGGACAAGTGGCTGATACATGTCTCTCCCTCTTATTCTTTCTGAATGGAACATATATTTTGGTTATGAAAAAGTTAACATAGCAGGCTTTTACCTGCTATTTTCAGAAAGCCATTTCTCATTGCTAATTTTGCTTGTTATTCTTTCACAGTAAAAAATCATAACTTTAAGCACAAGTCTGTCTTAAATCCTATGAATGCTTCCAAGGAATTGCTAAACGTGAAGAGGTCTTGGGGGCCCATGTTATAACAGAAAATTTGTCCTTTCTAGTTTATAGGTCATTGGGTAAGAAGAAATCACATTTAGACAATGTAAATTAGAAGGTCTTAGAATCTTCCAGACCGAAGCCACGACTGAATTAAGTGCCTTCCTCAGACTAGAGGTTATGTGTGTATTTTGTCTATGACAAAATATTTAGGTAAATATTTATGACCAAAAGGACAGAATGTGGTAGACTATTTTGTTTCCAATTACTTTCTCCTTCTCTATGAAAAGATTATATGTCCTAGTTCACTGCCATGTGACTTGCAATGCTACTCTGTACACAGGGTATGGTTCCCATTCCATTATTTGCTTGGATCAAGAGAATATAAGTACAATCATCCTGGTACAACAGAAACTTCATGAGGCACTGCATGATTCTGCTTGCTCTATAGATCATTTCTTTGCTACAAGAAAAACATATCCCAAGTGAAGACTATTCTTCAGCCTGGATTTTAGAATGCAGGACACATGAAGCCACAGCAGCTGACCTGTAGCAATATATGTAACATCAGTCAAAAATAAGTATTTGTAAAAAAAAATATGTATTTGTTACAATCACTATGGAAGGCAGTATGGCGCTTTCTCAAAAAGTTGGAAATAGAAATACCATTTGACCCAGCAATTCCACTAGGAATATACCCTAAAGAAACCAGAGCTGCCACTCAAACAGATATATGCACATCCATGTTTATTGCTGTGTTGTTCAGAATAGCAAAAAGATGGAAGCAACCCAAGTGCCCAGCAATAAATGAATGGAGAAACGGTGGTATATTCACACAATGGAATTCTATGCAGCAATGAAAAACAAGGAACTCATAAAATATTATACAACATGAAGGACATTATGCTAAGTGAACTATCTCAGTTACAAAAGGACAAATACTACATAACAATAACTACATAATACTTAACACTTAAGCTACCATTCTAAAACAGGACAGACATGGGGGTTGGGAGGAACTAAGAAAAGAGGGGATAAATAATGAACACTGCACTGTAACAAATGAAGGAAAGAACTGTTCAAAAGGAATATATGATTAGGCATTATCTATAGGACAACAGTCCAGAATGGGAGGTGCATAGGGTAGGAAGAGGTAGGATATTATGCAATAATGAATGACTCTTTTTTTAAGTGAACTGGGGGAGGGGTAGGGAGGAAAATATGCAAAAATGCATTAATGAACATGCAAGTTTTCTGTAAACTTTCATAAAAAAATAATAATAAAATAATTATTTTTAAAAATAAATACTTAAAAAAAATTAAGTATTTGTTGCAAATCCCCAAAGTTTGAGAGTTATAACAAAACCTAGTAGTAGGTAGCTGATACAATGACACACTTTATTACTCTTAACTCTAAGATATGCTTATAGATTTAATATAAGAAAATATCATGTCTGGCTTAACTATCTTTACAGCTGCATTAAAAAATGTCAGTTATACTGAACTCACGTTTCGAGGCTTTTTCAGGAATTGGTGCATCTTTGATTTTCTCTTCTTTGGCAGATTCCTTATTTTCTGAAGACTTTGGTTTTTTCCTTTGGCGCAATTCTACAGTTGGTCCTTAAAATATTATAAAGAGTTATTGCAACATATTAATCAAGCTGGTTTAATCTATATACTAAACTTTTTAACACTTAAGCAAAATTCATACTGAGACTTCTTATTACCAAAGTTAATTTACACCCCCCAATTCTCCCTCTTCAAAGTCCAAGGGAGAAAGCAGGGAACTCTTGATATAATGCTATTTTCAAAATAGATAAATTATTTTCCATCACATCTAGGGAAAAAAAAGTCAATTGCTAGCTTATTATTCTCACTAACCAACAGTATCATATGACAATGGATTATAAAAATTTACACAGAAAATATATAAAATATACTGACAATAAAACCATAGTTCACTTTTTCTAATAATCCTTGAAATTCTGCAGTTTCACAGTCCTGCAGTATTGTATGTGATAACACATACAGCTGTGGAAAGCATTTAGAAAAATTTTCCATACATATCTTCAATGAAAAACTAAGGCAGGACATTATCGCCAAACCAGGAAACTAAGTTTCAAATAAAATGTGAATTTCCTATATACAATTAAATCAGTGTACTATTTAGAATTAGTTATCTTGTGGGATAGTTTATGACTACACTGTTGCTACAGGGCATCCCTGCCAAGTTTACAATTTTTGCAAGAATGTATCTCTTCCTTGTAATAAAGAAATTTTCTCTTTTGTTACTAACTTTAGGCTGTGAGATAAGAACCCAAAAAGACAAGTGAAAAAGAAAATTAATCTGCTGTTGCTACTGCAGATAATATCATTTTTCTAGCTTTACATGTAAAACAAGAAAAATTAATGGGTTTCAATATGACTTTATAGCAAATGTATGTTTGCTAAGATAGCTTTGTAAACACTGGTGTTCAAAGTGAGAAAACACAGTGAGAAAAAATATTGTATTTAGTGGATTTAATCTCACTAGTCTAGTTGTTACCTACTTCTACAGTTGTAGCAGTGAGGCCAGCAGATACATTAGAAAGCAGTATTTACAATTATTATTAATTATTATCATACCTCAAATGTTTATTATTTCGCTAAATAACTGTGGGTCAGTTATTACTCTATTTCTTTTTCAGGATACCCCTTTAATTTCCTGTCTTGTTTAAAGCAAAAGTCAGAAGGGATCAATAAGGATGAATTTTTAAATAAAAAGCCAAATGAGCTCTGAAAAGTCAAGTCATCATTTTAAAGTTTATTTTTAAAAAGAATATAAGAGGAAAAATATTTAAAAGAACACAAGGGAAAATAAGAAGCTAGTTGCATTTTTAAATTTTTTTTTTCATTTTATTTTTGTGTGTGTGTACCATGAAATCGGATCTGACTGGTACAGGAGGAGATTGTCCCTCCTTCTACAGCAGAGCATCTGGTGGATATAGTTGCGTTTTTTTTTTTGGTTAGAAAAATTTGTATTAAGAATTAGCCAGCTGGACTCAGTTTAGATGATTCCAATTTTGTTGGCAACATCCAAAGTATCATCATCAGGAGCAGGTCGAACATGGGCCTTCTCTCCATCAGCCTAATCAAAGTGTTTACCTTAGCCACATCAATGCCACAGAGCTTCTTTACCAGGTGTTTAATTTGGTGCTTGTTGGCCTTGACATCCACAATGAACACAAGTTTGTTGTTACTTTCTATCTTCATGGCTGACTCAGTGGTCAACGGAAATTTGATGATGGCATAGTGGTCAAGCTTGTTACTCCTGGGGGTCGATCTTCCAGGGGTTTTTGGGCTGCCTTCAGAGTTTCAGCAGCTTAGGCCACCAGAAGGTGGGTGATGTGCAAATCTTTTTTTTTGGCCCTTCAGGCCTGTCTTCTTGGCCTTTAATGCCTTTGCTTTGGCTTCAGTTTTGGAAGGCAGGGGCTTCCTTCTTTGCTTTTGGCTCCATCTTCGTAGAATATATAGTTGCATTTTTATGCTTAACCAAAATGTTACCAGATATTTTTTTTTTATTTCATTTAATAATTTCAAAAATCCAGTAAACAAATCTATTAAGGTAGTTATCAAATGTATGTGACCTTTGTCCTTTGCAATGGAAAGGGAGAGTTAGATATAAAATGTTCTTTATAAAAAATTCTTTTCAAAAATATTTTTTGTAAAATAAAATCACTTGCTAGAATTATAAAATGTTGGTTTCATACAAATAATTTCTTTTATAAATATAATTTATACCATAAATTTTGCATAGATTCCCAAATAATATATAAAACCTATAAACCTTAACAATCATCTCTGAAGAATCAGTATTAATAGTGATCAACTATACAAATAATTTATAAGAGATCTAGACCATTATATCATCATTGTTTTAAAATGCTTTACATTTTATGATACTATGTTGACAGCAATGTTTCGAGAGGGGAGAAACACTTATTTGTTTTATGTGTGAAATGCATGTCAATTTCAGAGGTATTACAAAGTGAGCAAAAAGTACATAAGAAATCTATTAATTTCATGAGAAATCTAGTAGTATAAGTTTAGCCAATTTTTTAAGTTGTCTCTAAGCCTTTTATCTGTCAAGAAACAAAACTGAATGGATGCCAATTCCACTTCATTTCACTTTTATTTACAGACCTCAACTTTTAGCTGACTTTCCTGCAGGTTTGTGAGGCTGGAGATCTCATGGGAGGAGGTGAAGAATCGTATTCACTTGGAGCCACTGGGATTTAAACTATCCTAGACTTTGCTTTATTAGATTAAAAGCAAACTATGCTACAAGAGCTCCCTCTACTGATGTAACTTCAAAAGTGAAAGACAAACCAGGTATTTTTAAGTAGGCTAATGCAAAGAAACTAGGCAAACTAGATTACTAGTTCTAATAAGGAAACAGTGGAATGAAACTGAAGCTTTCTTTTCAGCATTGCAAAGAACACCTTTGGGGGGAAAAAGTCAAACTATATGACAATGTTAATCTTTCCATACAAATACTTTCTTTCCAGTCTCTAGTCCAGAAGAATCACATACTGCATAGCATATGTGCTGGCAGCCTCTAACTATAAAATCTCATCTCCAATCCTCATGAAACCTAAATTAAAAATTAAAGGGGTATGTATATAGGGTTTGTAATAACAAATGTGCATGTGACTCCTTGACACACACAGAAACATCACTTTATATTAAACATGTTTTCGTTTATCTGACAGATTTACTGAATGTTTCTATGTATAAACTGGAACCCTTATTCACTACTGGTGGGACTGTAAAATGGTGCAACCACTGTGGAAGGCGGTATGGCACTTCCTCAAAAAGTTGCAAATAAATATACCATTTGACCCAGTAATTCCACTACTGGGAATATATCCCAAAGAGACCATAATTGACATCAAAGTGGATATATGCACACCCATGTTTATTGCGGCTTTGTTCACAATAGCAAGGAGTTGGAAACAACCCAGGTGCCCATCAACAAACGAGTGAATGAATAGAGAAGCTGTGGTATATTCACACAATGGAACACTATGCTACATTGAAAAACAAAGAACTCATGCAATATTATTCAAAATGGGTCACCCTGCAGGACATTATGCTGAGTGAAATATCTCAGTCGCAAAAGGACAAATACTGCATGGTGCCACTGCTGTAAAATGGGACTGGTATCAGGGTTGGGGTAAGACTGAGAAAAACTGGATAAATTGTATATACTGCACTGAAACAGATGAGGGAGAGAATAATTTAAAAGTGATATGATAGGGTATTTTGGTTATCACAAGAGTCCACAATTAAGGTTGCATAGTGGAATGCACTTAGGGCAGTGACGGGGTGCAGGGGGATTGTGTACCAGGGAGGGAGTTTTTCCTTTTACTTTTCAAACAGAGGAGCGAACCGGGGGGGGGGGTTGGGCAGGGAGAGAAGTGCAGCAATGAATGAATGGAAATCCAAAGTCTTTGTAAATGTTCATTAAAATTATTTTTTAAAAAATTATTTTAAAAAAAAGGTACACTATAAAGATATATGAAGATAAAGATTTGACTGGTTTTAGATAAGGACCTTAACTAACTACCTCACCATCACTCAGTATTCATACAACATCCACCCACCTCACAGGATGGATAGTGGTTGTTAAAGGACTGTGTTAGGGCTACAAAACTTGCAAATATCCACTCCTAGTAGTTTTCAAGTAAAATGTTACCACCATTCTACTTAAGGTTGTCACTTTTTTCTTTGCTCTAACAGGTTTTTCAGAAAGCATAACTGAATATCATGATCCTTTATTGCTACAAGTAACACATTTCTTTTTTTTAAGGATCAAATTCCTGAAGAATATTTACTTAGAGAAAATGCTGGGACAATGAACTCAAGGGAATGAAAAGTAACACCTGGATACAAGTGAAATACAATCTGTTTAAAATAAAAATAAACCATCTGAATTACAACTATTGGTCTCTTCCCACTTCTACAGCTAAGAAGGGGGGGTGGAAATCAAAGGGTTAATGGAACCACAGAAACCCCAGGCTCCACAAGCTAGAGACCAGAAAAACTAGACCGTGCCTGGCTACCTATGCTGACTACACTGAGAGGGATCACAACTGGCAGTCACAGCGAAGTCGGGGGAGGGTGGTGGGGGGCAAGTTTGGAACAAAAGTCAAAACCATTAAAAAGATCATACTTAAGTGGTATGGTTTCATGTCCCATCAACCCACTGCTGACCCTCCAGTGGGCTTTCAGAGCAGTAATTCACAGAGGAGAAGACTGTCCTGGCAAAACTAGGAGACTATGGCTGTTAGCGGGAACTATGGTGGCCTAGCGGTTGAAGACTTGTGCTGTCAACCAAAAAAGTGTGTCGTTTACATCCACCAGCTGGTCCACGGGAGAAAGATGAGCAATCTTTCCTCTTTGTGATTTACAGCCTCTGAAAGCCCACTGGAGGGGAAGCTATGAGTCAGTTTCAACTCAAGGACGTGCACATAATTATCAACATGGCTGGTGGACACCTTCAAGCATGGAACCAAACTTATCCCTTTGGCTCAATTTTCAGTCCAACTATCTGTCCAGTGTTACATGGGGGGGGGGGAGAGCAGGGCGGGGGAAAAGGCAGGCAAGAAGGATGGATAGAAATGGCAAACACAAGGGAAGAGGAGGAAACAAGATCAAAAGTACATTTGTCCAGTATTAAGCCTCAGAAGGAAAAAGGGTAAGAAACACAACAGATGGAATGAGTAAACACAGTGGAGTGTTGATAATGAGAAGTGGGGGTTGTAAGCAGTGTTATTAGAGAAAACATGTATGAATTACTGAATGGAAAAGCAAATTTGCTCTATAACTTGTCATTGAAATTACAAGAAAAAAGCTTTTAAAAATGGAAATAATTTCACAAATATGCTATGGCTTACTCAGTCTAATTTTACAGTAAATACACCTAGGTGTTTTGAAAACAAAGAATTGCTATTGTTAGGTGCCTTCAAGTTGACTATGACTTCACAGTAAGCCTAAGTAGATCTGAACATTGCTCTACCCTGTGCCATCTTCCCAGTCTCTGTCATACTCAAGCACACTTCAGCAGTCATTGTGTCAATCCACCATAAGAGTCTTCCTCTCATTCACTGACCCCTCTACCTTTCTCAGCATGGTATCTCTCTCCAAGGACTAATTCCGCCTGCAGATATGCTAAAGTAAGACAAAGTCTCACCATCCCTGCCTCTATGAAGACCCCTGGTTGCACTTTCTTCCGGACAGATTTGTTTGTTCTTTTGGCAGGCCATGGGATATTCAATACTCTTTGCCAACACAATGCAAAAGCATCAATTTTTTTTTTAAATTTTTTAATTTTTTGTGCATGTACCATCAAATCGGATCTGACTGGTACAGGACGAGATTGTCCCTCCTTCAGCAGGAGAGCATCTGGTGGATTCGAACCATGCACCTCTGAGATTACAGTACAGTTTCTTGCTACTAGGCCACTAGAGCTCCCTAGAAGCATCAAATTTTTATTATTATTTATTGCCCAACTTTTAGCTGCATAGGAAGCAACTGTAAATACCACAGCTTGGATCAAGAACATCTTAGTCTTTAAACTGGCCTCGGAAAAGTCCTTAATAGTAGATTTTCCAAATACAACACACCTTTTGATTTCTTAACTACTCTTATCATGGTGTTGACTGTGGATCCAAGTAAAATAGCTGACAATTCAAAACTTTTCTCCATCTATCATGATGCTGCATCTTAGTTCAGTGGTGATATAATCGATATTAAAAGCTGTAGCCTTTGATCTTCTGCATTAAGTGCTTCAAGTCATCTTCACTTTGAGCTTGAGAAAGCAGGGGGTTGTCATCTGCATAAAGTAGGCTGTTGATGAATGGTCCTCTGATCCTTATGTCATGTTCTTCTTCATATCATCCAGCTTCTTAAATAATTTGCTCAAATCAATCTCCATAATAGTCTATGTGTTTCCTACTGCCAAAGGGGCCCTTTAGAGTAGTGAGAGAAGATCTTCACCCTGAAACCCACAGCGTCCCTTTTCAGCAGGAAGTAGCTAAGAGAATACGCCGTCCCCTTTTCCTTATGACTCAGGGTGAAGTCTCTCTCCGGGAGGAGTGATAGGGAATGGCAAAGGATACACTGACAAAGAAGATTAATCAGAACTGGCTTTGATAAGCACTGTGGCATTTGGACAAGAACAAACTGGGAGGAGGGTAGAGAGAATAGTGCAACAATGAATGAGTGGAAGCCCAAAATCTCTGTAAATGTTTATGAAAATTAATAAAATATAATTATAGAAAAAAAAATAATTTGCTCAGTATACAGACTGAACAGGTACAGAAGGAGGATACAACCCTTGTGCACACCTTTCCTGATATTAAACCACACAGTGTTCCTTGGTTCTATTCAAACAACTGCTTCTTGGTCTGTGCATAGGTTCTGCATGTGTATGCAATTAAGTGTTTTGGGATTCTCACTCTTCTTTAAAAAAAAAATCCAGTATACCATTGAAGGTAAAGTACTTGGGATAATGCCTAGAACACAGACATACTTGCTATAAATATTATCATTATTAGAATAAATGAGAATTTCTCCTTAATTGTTGATAATTATATCCCAGCCTAACACAGTTGTGGTTAAGCGTCATCAAGTTGGCTATGACTCATAGCAACCCTATAAGCAACAGCTCAGAACCTTGCCCTATTCTGCACCATCTAACAGGCAACTCAACTCCTTCCATCAAATAAGATCTGACTCATAAGTACCGTCCAGCGGGTTTCAGAGGCTGAAAATCTCACAGGCGGAGACTCTCCACCTTTAAGGCAAAGAGCAGTTAGTAGATCTGAACTGTCTGTCTTTAGGTTAAGAGTGCAAATTCTAGACCACCAGAGATCCCCTTAACACAGTAGGCACTCAAATATTTATGGAATTGTGAAAATACAATGAAATTATATTTTAATATAATTTTAACCCATGAATTATTCCATATAAGATATTTCATTATTTTAATTACCCATAATTCTACAAGTGATTTGTTTCACTTTATAATTCAATTGTATAAAATGCTACAGGGACTGTGGTAAGGAGTTACCATGCCAACAATCCCGAGGCACTTGGTTCAAATCCACCATGGGAGAAAAGAGGGCAGGCTCCTCCTATGCAACGTACTGCCTCTGCAAGCCCGCCGGAGGGTCAGCAAAGGCTCAGTTCCTAGTCAACAGCACATAACAAGTCTTTATAAGGATTAGGGCCGGCTAGTGTGAAGGAACCGCACTGATGAGCAATCTCCTACCAAGCAATTTACTGCCTCTGAATACCCACTAAAGGGTCATCTATATCAGTTCCAGGCTCGACAGTCCATAACAACAACAAGGACTTTTTAATTGGTTCCACATTATAAAGATTTCTATTTCCTTAGTAGTAATTATAGCATCTTAAGGACCACATTGGTTTTAGGGCTCTCCCTCCCATGCTTTACTTAAGCATATGAAAGTACTCATAGAAACACACCAGATACCTACCAACCAACCTAAATTTGCAGTTAGTCATAAGTAGGAGCGGGGGGAATATCAAGAAATGTTTTTAAAATATATATATATATACTGCAACCATAGATAAAAGAAAAGAAATGAAATTGCATTCCCCCTTTCCTAAGGAAAAACAGATTTTTGGGTTTTTTAAGTTGCTCTTAAATAGAATGCCTTAAATTTAGATCAACTTCAACCCTCTGAAATCTCAAGGAAGAGGAGATAAATATGAACAGGCCAGAAAGCACAGACGAACGGGCAGCAAGTCAAAACTGTAAACAATACTTATACTTAAAAAGCAACACCCAAAATAAACATTTTTTTGCCAAATTCTTGAAATTCCCTGCTCCTCAGCTCTATCCAGTAAATGTTCCCCACTGAATGCAAAATCTAACTGCCTAGTCAAGTCCATATATATGCACACGCACACACACGTATATATTTGGTCCTGAAACCAATGGGGGTGTCATAGGTTATTCTATCATACATACTTGCTATATTATCACTAGCTGTATCATTAATTCCCTTCCTACTCTATTTCTCTCACACTAACATTCCCTATATATACAAATTGCTATGAGTTTCCCTGGCACTGGCTCTGGGGGGCATGCAAAGCCTTCCCGAATCTACCCACTTCATTGTCAAAGTAGTCCCTGTATCCTCATCCCCTAAAATTTCCGCGCTTTGCCATTTCCCCCTTCCTTATAACCATGACCTTCTGCGATTTCTGCATGCTCGTCCCCTTCCAATTCACCTTCCCATGTTCACCCCAAATCCCTGCTTCTTTTTATACCCTCGGGGTGCGTTTCCTTTCATCTTCTGATTCTGGACTTGTTTGTGTCCACAGACCTTTTAAAGGGGGTACCCAAGAGGGGCATTTTGGTAAACTGTCACTTTCGACTATGTTCTCCGTACCCCTGATAAATGCATTCACCAACATCTGAGCTCAGCCATGCCCTCCAGCCCATTACCAGCAAGGAGCCCTCCCTGTCAATCATCCCAGCAGAGCTCTCTCTCCCGCTCCCGGAATCCCACTTTAACTTCCACCTCTGCTTCCCACTTAAGGACAAAACTTCGGCTTATGTGCTCTGCTCCTTCTGAACCTCTCCCCTCGCTCGCATCCACCTGCCGCCGCCCCTCACTTCGCCGCCCTCCCCAAGCGGCCGCACTCGCGGCCACTGGACACTAGCTGCCCAGGCCTCCGGGGCCCTCGCGCCACCGCTCATCTTTCCCGGGACCACAGGCGGCAGTTGGCGCGCTGGAACCCGCAGCCGTCACCTTCTTTCTCCGCCATCGTCTCCGCGGAGGCCGGGGCGCCCCTCCGGATGCCACGCGGCCCGGAGCCTCCCTGCCTCGGCGCCGCCGAACCCTCGGCCGCCCCCAGCCCCGCTCCCGGCCGCAGCGCCCCTACTTCCTGACCCGCCCCCCTCCGGTGTCTCTGCCAACTGCGTCCTGCCGCACGACCCAGGAACCAGATTGCGGGGAGCGCGGGGCGTAGCCGGAGCGTTTCGCTGAGGCGCCTGGGCCTGCGCGGGCCGGAAAGGGAGTTGGCGCCGCTGCTTCCGCCCACGCCCAGCACTTTACGGCACGTTGTTCCTGGGAAGGAACCGAGCGTAGTGGGTTCTTTCGCGGGCTGCCCTCAACACCTAGTCTGTCTTGCTTTCTGCCAACCTTAGTGATTCCATTTAGGGCGTCAAAAGCATCCTCAGTTAGACCTTTCCGATCCACCCCTCGTCCGACGACCCATTTTACAAAGAGGAAACTAAAGTCCCGCGAGGTGTAAGTCTCAAAGCTAGTCAGCTAGCGTAAGAGTCCAGAGCTCCGAATTTTTTTCTGTGGCTACATTCTTAGGACCATTTCAGAGCGTTGCATAACGTTCTCGATTGATACCCTGTTCTACTAGGCACCGTCGTGACCATTACAGGAAAGAAGCGTTAAGAGTTTTAACTACTTAATTGGGTTGAATAATTTACATTTCATAAGAATGCATACCATGAAAAAAGAAAATAGTATTTGGTTCATTGGGTAGCTCTAGTAGCCTAGTGTTAAGGAGTTGTGCTGGCAACTCAAAGGTGATCTTCTTAGGTGCCATTGTTGAGTACAATACATGGTGACCCTATGAACAAAAGATCGGAACCCATCCTGTGCCATCCTTAGAATCGCTGACACACTCGAGGCCATTGCTGCAGTCACCGCGTCAATCCACTTGGCTGAGGATTTTTCTCTCCTTCGACATCTCTCCAAGCATAACAGCCTCTCCTAGCAACTTGCTCTAAGTGTGTGAGAGGAAGCTTCACCATCCTTGCCTCCAGGGAGCTATCTGGCTTCACCTTCTTCAAGCCTTAACTGTTCACTGGGCATTCCATTCCATGAGATAATTAGTACTCGAATACCACAGTTCAAAGGCATCAATTTTTCTTTTGCCATTCATTGTCCAGCTCTCAGATGCATAGCAAGTGAGTGAAAAGACCATGGTCTAAATCAGGCACACTTTAGTTCTCAAACTAGTATCATTACTTCTCAGCAATTTGGAGAGGTTTCTGACTGCAGACCTTCAAATTTCTTGGTAGAGACTAGTGAGCACCTTCAGGGTTGCATCTGTCATTGAAATATGTCAATTGGTGTTACCTCTATTCCTGAAACCTTACTTTTTGCCAATGCCTTTATCATATCTTGAAATTCTTCCTTCCTTACCATTGGCTTGTGACCATATGATATTTCTTGTAATATTTCATTTTTGGCTAGTTGTGTTTTTAAAAAATAAACAATGATTCTGTGTATTCCCTCTATCTTGATACCTTCTAGATCTTTGAAGATTTCGCATATATCATCTCTTAATATTGTATGTTGAGGCCTGAGTTTTTCAGTTCTTTCAGTTTGAGAAATGCCAAATGAATTCTTCCCTTTTTGCTCTCCAATTCTATCTCTCTACATATTCCATTTTAAGACTTTGCTTTGTGTCTTCTAGCTTCCCTTTGAAATCTTCTGTTCAGCTCTTCAATATCTCTCCTTTTGCTTTAGCTTTTCAGTGTTCTAATTCGATTTTCAGCTCTTCTTTGAAACCAAATACATACAGTTATATACAGCTGCTCTGCAAGAGAAGGATGATCAGTCTCCTCGTGTGTGCGATAAACCCGCTGGAATATCAGCTTTGGGTCAGGGCTGACTCAACAGCACACAACACCATCAACAAACGAATGGCTAGAGAAGCTGTGGTATATTCGCACAATGGAATACTATGCTGCATTAAAAAACAAGGAACTCATGCAATATTATTCAAAATGGTTGACTCTGGAGAACATTATGCTGAGTGAAATATCCCAGTCACAAAAGGACAAATATTACATGATGCCACTGTTGTAGAATGGGACTGTCCTTGGGGTTGGGGAGAGACTGAGTAAGATGGGTTCAATAATGTATACTGCACTGAAACAGAGGAGGGAGAAAACTTAAAAGAGATATATAACTAGGTATTTCTGTCATCACAGGAGACTAGAGCGAGGGCTACATGGTGGAGGGGACCTGGGGGAAGGTTTGTAAAACAATGAAAGAATCTTTTACTTTTCCATAATTTTTGACTCATGTACTACTTATAACTTGTTAGTCAAATTTGTGTCTTCTAGATTGCAACACCCCCATGATACATCTTCAAGGATATGAACATGTACGGCCAAGCACAATCAATAAGAGTGCATCTAAACTCCAAAATCAATCTCCACAATAGTCTATGTGTTTCCTACTGCCAAAGGGGCCCTTTAGAGTAGTGAGAGATCTTCACCCTGAAACCCACAGCGTCCCTTTTCAGCAGGAAGTAGCTAAGAGAATACACCATCCCCTTTTCCTTATGACTCAGGGTGAAGTCTCTCTCAGGGAGGAGTGATAGGGAATGGCAAAGGACACACTGACAAAGAAGATTAATCAGAACTGGCTTTGACAAGCACTGTGGCATTTGGACAAGAACAAACTGGGAGGAGGGTAGAGAGAATAGTGCAACAATGAATGAGTGGAAGCCCAAAATCTCTGTAAATGTTTATGAAAATTAATAAAATATAATTATAGAAAAAAAGTTGCAAATGGAAAAAAAAAACCCAGCACACAACAGCAACATGGTTCATTGGGAGGTGACTGCATTTCAGATATTCCACAGCAGTGGAACATAGTATAAAATTGTTATGTTATTTAAGCCTTCCTTTTATTTATTTTTTTTTTTACTTGTGGTTTTTGGTGTCAGGAGTGGGATACCAAGGCATTCCTTTTATTGTGTCAGGCATTCTCCAACAAATTTCAAGCCATTTTCCCTTACAGCACTCAGGAGTACATTTAGGACCTGACACAATACCTTTTTCAGGCAAGTAAGGAGAGGAGCAGACAACAGTACACATATTAGAAAGGTAGAAAATCTATGTAACTGAAACCATGGGATACTTACGGCGATCACATTCTTAGTGGAAAGTTAGATTCTTCTAGTAGAATCTTTACAAAGCAAGGCTATTTGGAGAGGTGCTATTTTCAGTTCTTGTAAAAACAATCCCAAAATCTCTATTTGCTTGTAAATATTTTTATTTTTGCCTCTAAACAAATCTGGACTGGAATTAGAAATATAATACTGGATACTAGTGGGCCAGAAAAGTCCTAGGATCAAAGCAAGGAGAGAACAGAATGTATAGACCTTGAAATCATAGGGTATGGTAGGACACCACCCTGGACATGGACAGGAGATACAAGAGTGCCAGCCTCATCAGATGACCTGGCACTGGAAGAGCTTTACATCCTGAGAGAATACAGCAGCCACTAAAGGCTGTGGTTTTCTAATTCTAGATTTTTTAGTGATTTTCCTTCATGATTATTTCAAGGGATGATCCTTAAACAGATTAATTGTACATCTGAATTCTCTATATAAGAGTTAGGGAGCTCTGATGACTTTAGTGGTAAGTAATTGTGCTGCCATCAGTTTCATGGTTCAGATCATCAGCTACTTCACTGGAAAAAGATGTGCCATCTCCTCCTGGACAATTTACTGCCTCTGAAAACTTGCTGGAGGGTCGGCTATGGGTTCTAACTCAACAGTACACAACAACAAAACTCAAGAGTTAGGGAGTCCTGGTGGTTCAGTGGTAAAGAATCGCACTGCCAGTGCAAAAGTGTGTGGTTTGAATCTACCATCTACTCTGTGAAAGAAAGACTGGCAATCCCCTCCCCTGTAATATACTGCCTCTGAAAACCTGATGGAGGGTCAGCTATGGGTGAGTTCCAACTGGACAGCACACAACATAGAAAAGTTAGGAAGCTTTGGTGACCTAGTGATAAGGAACCACACTACCAACCTGAAGGTTCATGGTGCAAATCCACCAGCTGCACCATGGGAAAAAGATGGATAGTCTCCTCCTGTGTAATTTGTTGCTGTTAAATGCCGTCAAGTCATAGATGACTCACAGCAACCCTATGAACGAAAGGCCTGAGCACTGTTCATAGAGTTTCCAGAGGCAAGCCATTTCGAAAGTGGATGCCACTCCTGCTTCCAAGCTTGTTTTAATCAGGAAGCTCCAGCCAGCACTGTCCACCATAGGTGACCATTATCACATTTGATACATCAGTGTCACAGTGTTGAACATCACAGCAACCGTGAGTTACCTCTGTACAGCAAGGCACAGACCAGTGCTATACCACCTTGAAGGATGTTTGACAGGAAAACAATTTGAACCAGGCCTGAGTGCCACAGATTAAAATCACCCACCTTGGGCTTGGTAGCATAACTTTCTGTCCATTAGGCCAGTGGAGCTCTATGTTGTCATTGTTATTGTTAAGTGCTATTGAGTCATAGACTACTCATAGCGACCCTATGAATGAAAGACCTGAGCACTGTTCATAGAGTTTCGGAGGCAAGCCATTTTGAAAGTGGATGCCACTCCTGCTTCCAAGCTTGTTTTAATCAGGAATCAGGGGGCTCTGGTGGCCTAGCGGCAAGAAGCTGCACTGCAATTCCAAAAGTACTTGGTTCGAATCTACCAGATGCTCCACTGGAGAAAGGGGCAATCCTCCTCCTGTACCAGTTGGATCCAGTTCGACGGTACACACACACCTGTGTAACTTAATACCTCTGAAAATCAACTAGAGGGTTAGCTATATGGGTCATTTCCAACTAAACAGTACAAAACAACATAAAAGAGTCGGGGAAAGAGAATAGGGAGGCAAAATGGTGGGGTTTATAGAAAGGAAAATGATATATGAAGAGAGCCATAATTACTCATTTTTCAGATAGAAATCAGAAGAATTGTTATTCTTTCGTAGAACTTTGATCCTAAAATCCTCCATTTGCCTACAGTTTAACCAACCTCTGCCAGTATAATGAAAGAGGATCATTCCATCCTGTGAGCAGTGTAATCTTGCTATGCAAGATCATAGTGATTTGGAATATATATCAAATAACTGCTCAAAGTGTGGCTTCGTAATTGAGTTTTTCGGTAGGTCATCCCAGAATTCCACAAAATCACATGCTTCTAGAAATAATTCACAAAATGATAGCCTAAAAATAATAAGTGATAACTGATTGCACTTTAAAAAAATTTTATTATTTGTGTGTGTGTGTGCTGTCAAATCGGATCTGACTGGTACAGGAGATTGTTCCTCCTTCTTCAGCAAAGCTTCTGGTGGATTTCAACCACACTCCTCTGGGATTGCAGTGCAGCTTCTTGCCACCAGGCTACCAGAGCTCGTCTGATTGGAAAGTTTTAAATGTGCCTCAAGTATTTTATTTAAGAACAAAATGGGGATTATTTAAAATGAAATGGGGATTATCAAGAGCATCACTGAACTTCATTTCTCTAACCAGTTACCCCAAAACTTCTCCCTTTAATTTTTCCCAATTTCTTCCTTCCTTAGTGAATGAGGAACTTAACACAAAAAGCGCCAGTCCAACTTTTTCCCTTTCCTCTGCCACCTATTCCTAGCAAAGGAAGCCACTTCACTTGGAATGCATTGGAGAGCCCAAAGCAGAGACCTGGAGGGGAAGGCTTTCCCTTTAGGAAAGGGACCAGGGACTACAGTCATAAAGTGAGGATCTCCTAAGTCTCAGGTACCAAAATGGGGCCCTGGAAAAGGCACTGGTGCACCTGGGAAAGGAGAGCCAGCAGGTTCAAAATCCTCTAATTGGGAGGCATTACCAAGAGACCATTTGCCCTTCCGTAACACTGGTTACAGAACCACACTCTCACCATGTCCTTCTCAAGCCCGAAGGGTGGGTTTGAGGAGTAGGCTGTCCCAACTGCCTTTTACTTGGCTCTCAATGTTTGTTCACTTTGTCTTTTGGGCCTGCTGCAGGAGGAACCCCATTTTGCATATCTCTTGGAGCTTTTGTGCAATGAACACTTCCTCCACCCACTTCTGTAACAGAGACTGCAATTTACACATTCTTGAACCTGAGCCACAGAGGACAGACGGTTGTCTGAACACCTTCCCAAAGAGGACTCCCAGAGTGAGCCCCACATCAGCTTGAGTACAAGCTGATCCCCAGGTTGACAGTTTAGCAAACTGCTGATCTTTCTGCTGAGTTTTGATGCTCTCCTCTTGGTTCTTAACTGGCTTCTCCTTGTCCATGTTGGCAGGAGCATTGAACATACCATTGACTGCCAAGAGAATAAATAGGTCTATATTGGCATTGTTAGAACCACTTAAGTTGGGAACTACTTGTAGATTAAAAAAGAAAAAAAAATACAAGAGGAAAATATTCTTCTACAGCACCACAGTTCAAAGGCATCAATTAATTCTTCTCTCATCCTTAGTCACTGTCCAGCTCAGTCACCTATCAAGTGGCTGAAAAGACCATGACCTGAATAAGGTGCAGCTTAGTCCTCAGACATCCCTGCTCCTCAATAATTTAAAGAGTTTCCTGACTGTTGTAGACTTTTCCAGTGCAATGTCTCCTGATGATACCAAGTGTACTTATTGTGGATCCAATTAAGATGAAGTCCTTGACAATCTCAATCTTTTTTCTACCCGTCATGCCCTGTTGGTCCAGTGGCGAGAATTTTTGTTTTCTTGATGTTGAGTTCAATGATGTTGTTTGTTGTTGGGTACCAGTGAGTCAGAACCAACCCACAGCTGACCCTCTGGCAATTTTCAGAGGCAGTTAATTGCACAAGAGGAGAGTGCCCGTTCTTCTCCTTGCAGAGCAGCTGGTGGCCTTTGGGACTGCAGAACAACTTCTTGTTCCAATTTTTTTCAACATGTTACCCTGATCAAATGTTTGGAATATGTTATGTTCACTTAACTCAGCAAGTTTCCTCATATTACCTACATGCATTTCCCCATAACTTCCTTCCAGGATGACAGAATGTACCATATAAACTGACAGTTTTAAGTGTATAGTTCATCACAACTGTCAAGTACAAGTCAAATATATTTTAAGTCTCACAAAGAGCAATATGACTGCCACCTGTGGAAATCTGTGAACCCTTCTGAATATAGTGGATATTCTTAGGAAGTAATGGGCAGTCTCCTTTTATAAAGATTTACAGCCTTTGAAACTCAGTTGAGAGTCACCATAAATTGGTAGCACTTCACCAACACTAGATTTGATTGTGGTTAAAAGGAAACCACCACCACCTCCTCAGGAGATGACTTATCCACACCCACCATTACCATCATAGGACTTAGAGCAGAGACATTGAGATTAAACAGGCAAGTTTTATTATCAAATGTAACAATTCTACAAAAACTCAGTAGTATTGTAGTATTACTGTCTATCAAAACTTTGGGCAGACAGCACTTTAAAGGCATCAAGTACAAAGAATTTCTGATTGTAAGTGCCAGTTTTCACACAATTCCCTCCCTCCCCGCCCTCATTTAAGTTAAAGGGTCATTTCTGGTCAGCTGAAGAGGAAAAGATTTGGCTTTCCATTCAAGGTGATAAAATAATGATGCAAACTAAAAATAGCAGCCACAAAAATCTGCATGGCACTGCATCCAAGCAAAGGGCAATGGAGTAACTTAAATATGTGCACTTAGTTAATGGAATCCTGTTTGACTCTTTGGGGTTACATGAGGCAGCAGTACTAGCTAGCTGGTGTCTAATATTGCACTTTTGTAGCATAAACACAGCTAAACACAGTGCAGAACACTGACAGCATCAGTACTTGCTCACAAACTCTATCAGTGTTTGCCTCAGTCTAACATCTGACTACAATCCTATGCTTTTAACTTGACAGTTAAGACAACAGAGAAAAAGGTGTAAGGCCATTTTAATATATACAAGCATTTACTTCAGTTAGTATATTACCTTCTAGAATATTCTCATTTCTGTAACATTAAAACCTATGGAATTTCTTGAATTAAAGTCTAAACCATCAATGGAAAAAAAAACAATATAAAATAATACATACAAAGCCACAATATTCTGTTATATTATAAACTAAACTAACTACATCTAGGTGCTTCATTTTTGGTTTTGCATTTTTTGGCCCCTAGTTCATTCTTCAACTGGTATCTGCAGAAAGAGGTCCAACTTTTAAGCTATGTATATTTGTGTAGGGCACACCATTTTTTTGTGTTGTTGTTTAACTTATCCTGTGGTGTTTTAAAAATGGTTTTAATTAGCTTTAAACCGATAAGACATCATGATGGCGAAGAGACAATATTATAGTTTTATTTCTTTTCATGAATTTATGATTTAAGTATTTCAAGACCATATTCTTGAATTACTTATTTAGCAAGAGGGCATGATTGTGCAGAAGACAAAGAGATGGCAAGAAAAGAGTGGGAAAACTCAAAAATAAAGCTTCTATAATAAGAGTTCATAACAAGAGGGCAGACTCTACTGGTGTAAGTAGATTCCCCCCCCCCATATTACTTAAATCTTAGGAAATGCCTATGATGCCACTTTAGCTGGAAGTAGTGGTGCCATCTGATTTCAAATTCACATTACAAATGCCTATTTGCAATCAGCAAGGAGCCAGATATGCTGCTTCCTAAGGATTTGGTTCATTGGCTCCAAATTTTTCACTCCACCAAAAGATAGGGCACGGACCCTTATCCAATCATTTTTGCTGAAAATACTGCAGCCTGAGTACAGATAAACTTCCCCTGAAGTTGCTAGACGTTTTCTTGTGTCTGTCTTGTATCAGGATCACCATACATCTTTCAAACACTGGAAGACAAAAAATTTAAATAAGTCTTAGCAGCCATAAATAGGATTTAAAACTTCAACCGTACTAAGGTGGGGTGGGGGGGGGGGAAGATACTACGATTTTTAATTTTACACAGACTTAATTAGCATTTGCTGGGCAAATTCTTGGAGTATGACAGCATTAAGTAATTAAATGATGGCTGCCATTTTCCACAACTCCCTACCTTTTGTATTTTCAAATACATAATAAATTTTCACACATCCTCACCCCTACACTTGAATTGCCTCCTATATGCATGGAGTTTATTATTAGTCCGAGTTTCTACATTAGCATTCTTCTGATAGAGTACAGTATCATTAGTAGTTAACAAGATCATTAACAAACATTTTAAGTTAAATTCTAGTAGAATATAGAATAATTCCTACCCTCCAACAAAAAAAGAGCTCTGGTGGCCTAGTGATAAGGTGTTTCACTGCCAACCTGAACATATATGGTTTGAATTCACCAGCCACTTTATGGGAGACGGATGGGCAATCTCCTCCCATGTGATTTACAGCCGCGAAAACCCAATTAAAGGGGAGTTTGATTCCATGGCAAATAAACAACAATATGAAAAACCAACATTAAAAATACCACAAATTATCAATCAATAAGCACTGAGGCTTGAAACTACACACCTGAGTGCCACATTCCATAACTGGTTTTAAGTACCTTATTAATTCAATATAGCAGCCCTATTCAGATTTTCATATTATCCTCATTTTACACATGAGGGAACAAAGGCCCAAAGTTGTTTAAGCCAGTAATTGGTAAAGCCAGGATCTGAACCACAGCATGTTGGTTTCATTAGGTTATCTGACTTAGACAAAACACAAAAACTTTTTTTAAAGGGTTAACAGTCAATTTGTTTCTTACTCTCTTACAGTTCCTGCAACCCTCCCCTTCTACACTAGTTACTATGGAATAGAATCTCCAACATTTCCATCTATTTGACATTAGAAATAGTGAAAAATTGTTAAAGAAGAATGCTAAATTGTCCCAATGTATGTCCTCCTACATTCAGCTCCAGGTGACTCCAGATACAGAAGAAACTCAGCCTAGATTAACAAAACCACACAGGTAACCCAAAGGCTCATGGAAAATAATAACTGCTAATAAATTAGGGGATAAATTTTCTAATAATAACTAGTTTAAAAAGTGGGGAGCCATATGAAGCTATTCCTGGGTGGGTAGAAAGGTAAAATGGCATTAATGTATACCACAAAGTATTAAGCAAAAGATTAAATAGCTACAAAGTAACATGCAAAAAAAAAAACAACAAAAACTTTAAAATGAAATCTCTAAGTATATTGTAATCATAAGAGGAAATCAACTAAACATACTTCCAACATATAAATGTTAAACGGAACTGAAGATAGAAATGATTGCATTGAAGTTGTAGACAAAGTTTACTTTGCTCTAGCAACAAAGATTCTCAAACTAAGGCCTTAGTATTTTAACAACATTTAATTATCATTCATTTATGAGAATTTTGAAAATAGCGTTTGGAAAATGATCACATGCTCAACCAGAATGAAATAGATGACCTTCTAAAGACCAAGTCACCGTGTATATCTAAACCTTCTTCCAGAACCCCCACTCCCCCCTTCTGGGCTATAACTTTTCAGACAAGAATCTCACAATTACAGTTTACAGAATATTACAGGGTCTCCACAAGAAAATAATCCAATAACAAAATGGGCAGAAGATATGAAAAAGCTTCTCACAAAGGAAGACATTCAGGTGGCCAATAGAACAACATCAGATGGTCAATTCAGATTCAACAGCACTTGAAGAAATGCTCAAAATGAGGCAATAAAAGAGGATGCAAATCAAAACAATAACCAGCTACCATTTCACCCCAGTAGAAAATTTAACAGGATAGCAAACAGTAAATATTGGAGAGGATGTGGAGAGATTGAAAATGTATTTTAAGATGGTACAACCACTTTGTAAGGCAGTTTGATGTTGCCACAAAAAGCTAGGCATAGAAATCCCATGTGACCCAGCTATTGTACTCCTAGGAATATACCCCAAAGAAAATAGAACTGAGATACAAATGGAGATTTGTACACCAATATTCATAATAGCATTATTCACAATAGAAAGAAAACGTAAACAGCTCAAATGCTCATCAACAAACGAATGAATTGAGAAATTATGGTACATTCACATGATGGAATATTATGCAACACTAAGGAACAAGGATTTTTCTAAAATGCACTATAAAAGAGAAGAGTCTAGAGAGCGTCATGCTGAGTAAAAGAACTCGGTCTCATGACAATAAATACGGCATAAGATTATTATTGTAAAAGCAGAAGGATAACTGAACAAGATGTGTATAAATGTTCAAAAGGAGAAGAGGGAAAGGGAGACTATCATTAGCAGAAGTTAATGGACAGAAAGGACGTGAACAAATAGGAAAAATCCAATAAGCACTTGTAAAGACAGAGTGATAATAGGAATAGATCAATAATAATTATATAAAATACAACGTATATAGATGATTGTATAAAACAACGTACATAGGGAGTTCTGGTAGCCTAGTGGCATGAAGCTACACTGCAGTCCCACATGGTTTGAAAGAACAGATGCTCCTCTGGAGGAGGAGGAGAAATCTCTTCCTGTGCTAGTTGGATCAGATTCAATGGCTGGGGCAGGGGGTGGGGGAACCCAAAACAAACAAAAGTATAATGTACATGTATGAAACAATGTTTATGATTGTATAGTAACCAATAGAAATACTGGTTTTAAAAAAAGTGATCACTATTTAACATTTAATTGAAATCATCAATCTTTGAAAGGATTCTTTTTGGAAACTCATTTTTGCCTCTGTTCTTTTCATTAAGGCGCTCTAGCGGCACCACGCCTCTTTGGTTGTTCCAATGCACCAGTAACTCTGCAGGAGAAAGGTAGGTAGTCTCCTCTCCTGTGATTTACAGCCTCAGAAGCCCAATAGAGGATCAGCTATCAGTAACTGACTAAATTATTGAAGGCAAATGAGGTGAAATTAGTTCCTTTAAGCTTGGTTTTACTGATTGTGTGGGGAAAGGGGAGAAATATTTCCCCTAAACCCGAGGAGTTACTTTTGCCTTAGTTTACTACACCAAAGGGTCTGCTATTTTTGTCCAGGTTGAGTGAAATAACCTGGACAAGCTGTAGATTAGCTGGAGCTTTGATAGTTTGTCTTGCTCTAGACAGTAGCCTGCCGTGTGATTGAAATGCACTTTGCTGTAAAACAATGAAAGAATTTTTCTTTTACTTTTCCAAGAGGGTAGTGTACTATGGGGGGACGATTAGGAGGGGAGAAAAGTTGATTTCCAATCATTCATTGTTGCAAAGTTTCTGTAAATTTTCATTGAAATTAGTAATAAATTTAAAAAAAAGAAATGCATGTTGCAGGGACTGTTTAATATACTAGGCAAAAGGAAATAGAAAAAGCCCTGCTTGACTACATGGCTGAAGGGAGTGGAAGAAAGGAGAAATATGCTTTCTCCTTTGAGCCTCCACAGTTGTCTGTTATCCTTACTAAAACATTTTAAGTGGTGTTGCTATACTAAAGGCACACAGTTCAAATCCACCAGCTACTTTGTAGGACAAAGATGGGCAATCTCCTCCCATGCAAGTCACAGCCTCTGTTGCTTGAGGGTCAGCTTTGAATCATTTCTGACTCAACTGTATGTAACAAGGAAAGTAAAAAGTTCAGGGGGAACAGTAGCTGCTGTCAGATTTAGTTAAGTGATTGGAGTAGAATGTAAAGGAAAAGCAGTTTATGCTGATGCAGATTCTTCTAAGGAATCCAGAGAAGTTCTGAAGTTCAGAAATGACAGTACCTCTGAGATAACCTTCTAGAGTGAACTCAACATATTCATTTGAGCCCGTAGGTGCAGGCATGCCACAGTCCAGCCATCCCAAGCCTGTCAGTTCTCTGTCAATGAATTCCACATATCACCTTCCCAGTTCCATTATATTATGTTACTAGGAAACTTCACCATTGAAGATGCCAAATATTGTACCTTTATATTATATTAAAATGGGGGAAAAGTCTTAAATGAAAATTAGCTTCTCAGATCTGACACTTTTTTTTACTCATGAAATATTAGTGCTCGAAACTGCAGCCTCCTCGCTCATAGATTAAAAAAAATAATTTAGAAGGGAATGCTTTTTCTTCTTCCAAATCAGCTGTAGAAAATAAATTAGCTATATAAATAAAGTTAGCTTTTAAAAACCAAAACCACATTTTTTTAAAAAAGTCAGCTTTTGAAAGTTAATGCTTGAACAGTCACAGAAGGTCTATTTGATATTCCTTTCTGTAAGACAGTTGTTAAAATATGAAACTTTTAGCCCTTAAAAATCCATTAATTTTAAGAACGGTTGAAATTCAGAAATGTAATTTTAATATTTGTTTTAATTTTGACATCACTTTTCTGAAAAGTTTAAGTTGGAGAAAAAGTTTGTTCTCCCCGTCAGGTAAAGGTAAAATAAAAGTCCTAACTCATATTTAATAAAAGTATGTTTAATAGTCGTAAATAAAAACAATCTCCATTTATTTAGGTTTTCATATTACCTAGAAGGGAAGAGAGTAAGAGAAAGCTAAAGGTTAAAAGCATGTGTTTCTTGTCCAAAAGATGCCTAATAAAAAAAAGTTTTAGTCCAGAAACTAAAATACTAACGATTTACTTGAACACAAACAAGAAATTATATTGCATAAGAGAGATTACTTTCAATATGCAATACTCAAAATTGGCCAGGCTTACTGATCTGATAGAAATGATGGAATTCCAATACTCTGAAGGGAGATGTGCTATGAACCTGAGGTCATGCCTCTCTGGACATTGGAAAGCACCCGTGACTCAAAAGACAAAGATAGACAATCTCCTCTGGTTGTGTTTACAGCCTTGGAAACCCAATGGAGGATCAGCAGGGAATGAGGAGGTTCTGATTTGGCAGCAGTGAGGTTTTAAAATGGTTCTTGCTCATC